ACACACACACATAAACACACCCACATACACTCACCCCCCTCCCTACACACATATATGCACATACCCCCCCCCAACCCCCGAAAGAAAGAAAGAAAAATAAATAAAAACTAAAGCATAAACAAATGAACAACCAAAACACTTCACACAATAAAATACACGGAGGGACTGTCACATATTTGACTCACAAACAAGCAAAATACACAGTGGCTCTTTCGAACGCTGAAAGCATTTCACCCTAGGAGTCACTATTTACTGAGTAGCGATGATTCTTCCTACATCACAACGTTAACAGAAATGGTTTTTTTTCAGTTTTAGTAGAGGTTTTATGGCGCTCGCAACTGCATACGGTCATATGAACGCCAGAAGATTAGAGGTATTACAAGAGAGTAACAAACATAAAAAAGAAGAAGGGGAGATAAGGACGGCAGATGTTTGATAGGAAAGAAGGAGCAAACCACACCAGAGCACCCGCCAACCACCCTCCAGAAATGTTTGTTAAATAGCAGTTTCACAGACTGATGTTTGACTGATAACTTTACACACGGGTTAGCCTAAAAGGTGGTTTCAAACAATACAAAGGCAAAATATAGACATGGCCCAGAGCACCTGCGTCTGATCATATCAGTGACCTGTTCTTTTCCGATCGTATGACAAAGTTAATATTATCTCTCATCCTTTGGTGAGCAATTATTCGCATGGGTGAACTGTTTTCGCGCTGGGATAGAGCTCAACAGCTCCACACTACAAAGGAGCCCCTCACACGCGTGTTGAGAATACGAAATCAAATAAAGTTATTTATCAATTTTAGTCTTTGAAGATGCTAACTGAGAGGGTGGTAATCAAACAAGCTCCATGTTCAGGGTCTCTGTGGGTTATAGCTAGAGTATATGAGGCAATCAATTGATTTAGAGTGAAAAAAAAACTTGCCCCGCTTCGCTAAGGTTACCCCAAACCGGTGACAAACTAAGCTAATTTTTAAAACACCCTAACTCAAAGTTCATTAGCCATCCATAGTTGAAGATGTATGCGGTTTGAGAATTTGGGTGACGGTTGCAAATTATAACGGATTTATCAATGGGTTAAAGTCATTTCGTTTGCTTTGGATTAACGTGTTAAAAGGAAATGTGCAGTTGAATATTCAACTGCCCGTGAGGCCGCGCGCTCTAGGAAGATTTCCACTTTTCTCACGGCTGCAAAGTATGACGTCATTTGACGGTGCGGAAAGGCGAACAGGTGAAAATTGTATCATTTGCAAACTCGCAACCCTGCGAAAAGTAGAAATTTTCCTAGTGTGAACGTTGCCTAACTGCAATATTAATAAGTCAGCAAAAAAATGCATATTATTGTAGAGGATCAGTCGGATAATAGAAATTACAGATAAAGGAGGGGCCTAGAAACCAATGCCTTCATTTAGTTTTTGTTCTAACTTATTGTATATTGCTTTACTGCCTTACTAAACACAGATTGTAAACGATTTTCGTTTCCTCTTTCAAAGTTTAAATCATATGGGAGGCGATCTGCTTCGACAAGCATGCCATGGCCAACCCAGACTAAGTAAATCATCAAATTTGACCGCACTATTGTACTATTTATAGGCAATACTGAAAAAGAAGCAATTATTATGTCACAATAATACCAAGTCATCGTCAGTGGGGACTAAAATACGAGACAGTGGAAAAAGACTCTTTGAGTGCAATCCCCCGTCTTTGTTATTAATCAAGCTTGGTAATAGAAATCTGTACCACAAAATCCAGTTGTCTAATAATACCCTGCTCTGAGTGGTCCGAATAGCGTTTAGTAATGGAAATCTGTATCAAAAGGTCCACGCTTATCATAATACCCTGCTCAGAGCTGTTTGAATTAGGCTGCGAGACATCATTACTGGCTTTGTTTTCCAGTTCTATTATTGTACATCGAAGGCTTTGCAGCTGGCTGAAGCTTCGAAACAACATAGTCGTGGTGTAAACTGAGGGCTCTGTGTGTCGCGTGGAGGATTATCCTAAAACTAAGAGACACCTGACTAGAACTGAAAACTTTTAAGAACGGAAATATCCTGGTAGATCCTATATTTACTCTGTATTCCACCCCCACCTCTCTTCAACACACAACCACTATTTCTCACATTAATAGGACTAATTAAACACAAACACGCGCGCGCAGACACATACACACACATGCACACGCACGCACACACACACACACACACACACACACACACACACACACACTCGCACACACACACACACACACACACATATATATATATATATATATATATATATATATATATATATATATATATATATATATATATATATATATATGTATATATACACACACAAATACACACACATAAATAATGATAGTAATAATAATATAAAAAAGACATGCATTCATATAGAAGATAGCCCTAAACGAATGCACCTGCATACTCCATACACCCATACACGCACATACGATGTAAATTTTGTTTTGTCAACTCTGCTCAATAGCTGTCATGACTCCCCCATAACATCAAGTGATTTAGAGGGTATATATAAGAAACTTAAGACACTGAAATGGGTCTGCTGCGTCGTAAGCCAACGATTTGCTTGCAGCTATAGTAATAGCATAAACATCAGCTTCCCCCAGTCCCCTCTCCCAACCTTTCTCTTCCAACATCACGGTGCACAAGAAAAAAAACAACAGCAAGAAACCAAAAAGTAAATACAGAATACAATAAATAACGACCCAAAACAATTAACTAAAAAATAAACACTTAAACCTGACAGAAACACAACTCCCTCCCCCCATTCTTCTTTAACACCCCCCACCCCCCACCCCCAGTAATTATTATTATTAATTAAGTGAAACTGAAAGGCTAAATAAGTGTGTCTACGGGCTGCAAATGGCAGGATATCCGTGGTCACCCATTTGTTTATTTGCTCGTGGTTGTTACTGTTACTATGGCTGTTGAAGTCTGTATTCTCATACTAATTTCTCTTTTCTTTTAAAAGTTTTTAAACGACAATACGAACATTCTAGTTATTTCTATACATGTTCATTTAGTACGACCATTAAAAAAAATTAGCCTTGGGAAATCTGAATTATTTTATATTATTCCAACACCGTGGTTTACATTTTTGCTTTTCTTCTCGAGGATAATTGTCTCAGTCTTGATTCACCCAGCTGTTGTATTACCCTTTTCTTAAAACCCGCATTTCCTTTATTCACAGGTTTAGTGACCTGTTCAATAATAAAAACAGTATCCATCTGTTTCTTCATTACTCCTCTTAGGCATTCTTTCTTTCACTTTTTTATTCCTGAAGTGATGCCAAGTCTCGCTTCATGGACACATGATTGGTTTTTAAAAGATCTGTTACTTTATGAACAGTACCAAACTCAAGGGAAATAAAAGCCCTATGTCTTTTCCAAAGGTTTTGCGAAAGTTCGAAAACGTATGAACAAATTAAAATAAAAAGAATGATATTCCCTTATTATTTATAGCATTAAAACAACCCCTGAGAGCAATGAGAGAACCACTTCTAACAAAATTATTACACGAAAAATCAACAACAAAAGCGTTTTGACAAAAGTTGCATGCAATGGTACTACCTAAGACCGAGTTTATAAAAAATGCAAAACAAAAAAGTGTAGATCTATGTAAGGTCGTGCTGTTGTTGTTGGGTTTGAATAAATCATTCGTCGCCATAACTGCTATTTTGATACCAGGTGTGATAAGTCTGATTCCTAATATACGTTCACACCCAGCAATGAAAAAGTTTTGAACAATGGGAGTCAACTGCATAACATTTACAGTGCAGGTACAAGGTTGGGTTAAACACTTTTTGAATGCAGTACGTTTACATCATTTCGTTATGAATCACCTTTTGGTACTTTCTCCTTAAAAAAGTGGATTACAAACTGGATACTTTTGAAAATGTAATGGAAAACCTTTTCACTCCCCCCCCAATCCCCCTCCCCCTCCTCTCTCTCTCTCTCTCTCTCTCTCTCTCTCTCTCTCTCTCTCTCTCTCTCTCTCTCTCTCTCTCTCTCATCCCTGCCATTGAAGAAATACACCTAAGGCTGCCTGTAAATTGGGCATGTGTAAGTTAAGTGCTACGCTACCAAATCTAAACTGAAGTATATATATATATCAATAATGCCCTGTTTGTTTTCGTGTCCTTTTCAAAGGCGTCTTCCTTGGTGCGTGCGTGTGTTTACATCTCCATCCCTTCTTTTTGCTGATTGTCTCTCCATGTCTTCTTGCCATTCCTTTCAGTCTTTCCCTATCTGTATAATCCTTCATCTTTACACTTTAAACATTTCTCTCTTGTGTACCATACCATTTTCAAGGGTCACAAGTCTAAAACAATTTTGGTGCGAGAAAGACTATAGATCTAATCTAAACTTGTCTGAAGTTCTGATTACATCTGAGATTTTCAAAAAAATGTGTCTTTGTATGTGTGTCCACGCAGGTGCGTGTATGTGTGAAAAACCATCCGGTTCCCTTTCCATAGGTAAATAATAATATGTCTATCTGGAGTAGAAATATTATTAATATTATTATAGGAGGATGGAGGGTATTGAGAACCCCTGAGACACAAATGAAAAAGCCAAAATATGCAAAACTGCTTGGATCTCCTTGTACATTAAGATTAAACAACTATTTGCAACGCTACCCAGAAACGTAATTTGCAACCTGGGTCATTAGCCTGTAAGCAATTGGTGTAGAGAAAGAAGAGGTCCGAGTGTTTACTTACCGCCCTAACTAGGGTGTAGCCATGTTGTGCAGCTACGGACTCGGCGTGGCTTTCTCCTCCTTGGATCTGTACAGCCCACTCGTTCAAATAATGTCCATCGTCATCTTGAGCGCTGATGGTGCGGACAATATGGTCACTGCAGCTAACTGTCAGCACCAGAAGTGCCAACGAACAAAGGTTCATACTACTTGGAAGTCGCAGCTATCAGACGTTCTGCAACCTTGTTCCGCTCTTGCTGAGGGCGCGAGTGACAACGCTTGGAAGTGGACAGATGGCTTTATGAACGCTCCGTCTTGCTCCTGACGTCGACGATAGAATTTTATCAATAAAAACTGACTTATCCTTTTAAACCCAAGCCACGTCTTTCGAAACAGGTTATGGTATCAACGGAGACGTTCTTATAAAGGACAGCACACGGATGCTTCTTATCTTTTCTCCTTATCTAGGCTTTTCAAATATGCGTGGTAAATAGTCTCCAGCGACTGAACTGATTCGAGTTTACCGAAATCACTTTGTTTGCGTCCTCCACTGAAATTGTTGATCTTACGTTTCCTTAGAAGCTTTATTTTTTCTCCTTGATTAAAGAAGTTATCAAAGTTTCAAGTCTTTCTAAATAGACCCCCACAGTCTCGATTTCTTGTAGGTGGTGTATATTTTTATGGTTTTCCTTCGAATTTTTAAAGGTATCAACATAAATAAGGTGCGTCCAGTCTCTGCCTGTCTTATCGGCACCTTATCGTCTTACTTGTCGCACAGACAACCGAGGGGCCTAATGCGTGTGCTCTCGCCAACACGCTCATTACATAGACTTTATCTAGGAATAGATTTGAGTGTGGACAATAATGATATATTTATGACACACACCGGCCCTAGGGTGAGAATTCTGAGGGGCGTACCATCTGTCGCCAGGAAACTATATCATCCGCTACTGGTCTCATCGCTTTTGTAGCGCAACTCTCCTTGTGGGCGATACAATCAACGTTAGGTCCATTTTCTCGCACTTGTCATATGCAGAGAAACGGATTCTCTGGACATTCAATAAACTGATCAACATTTGATTGGAAAGCCCATAGCGCGTCTATTTGTGAGAGCAAACTAGAAAATGAGAGGCGATCCTGTGTCGCGATTGTGTGCTTATGGCTTTTTCGGACAAACGGGGTACAATAAGATGACGTTTAATTTAATTACAGAAGTATTTACGAACCATTCTTGTTTATTTGTTTTTGTTCCTTCTCTGGTATAAATACGTTTCTTTTTTTCTTTTTTTTTTAGCTGTATGGGAGGATCAAATCATCATGCGAAGCGCACCTTGTGAAACATCCGCTGACATTACAACATGCTCAGCCTAAATTCTTGATGACACAACGTTTGTTTGAATAACACGGACAGGTGAAGATTTATTCCCTTACTGGTCATTTTCAAAAAACAAAAACAAAAATCACAGCGAATCACCCTTTTTGTCTCTCCCTTTCCCACTAAGCGACTGATGATATTAATTCTTCTGTCCCGTTTCAATTGGTGATGGCAACTTGTCTGTCTGTCTGTTGTCTGAGTCTGTTATATCTCATTCTCTCTCTCTCTCTCTCTCTCTCTCTCTCTCTCTCTCTCTCTTCCTCTCTCTCTCTCTCTCTCTCTCTCTCTCTCTCTCTCACCTCCCCTCTCTCTTTTTCACTCTATCTTGTCTCTGTCTTGCACACTCTTATTCTGACACACACACGCTCACTTTCTCTCTCTCTCTCTCTCTCTCTCTCTCTCTCTCTCTCTCTCTCTCTCTATCTATCTCTCTCTCTCTCTCACACACACACACACACACACACACACACACACACACACACACACATACACACACATACACAAAAATTTTTTTTTCTCTGTCTTACCTACTCACTCTCTCTCTCTCTCTCTCTCTCTCTCTCTCTCTCTCTCTCTCTTTCTCTCTCTCTTTCTCTCTCTCTCTATCTCTTGTTTTCTTTGATTCTCTCTGTATTTCCCACTTATCGCTCGCATTCCCAGCTATCCTTATAAAAGAAAAAAAGAAAAAAGCGCAACCAAAGAGCATACAAACACGTGCCATTTTTGCCAGCTCCTAAATTCAAAATGGAAAAATAGGGGTAAAAACGTAGAGGTTCTTCAGAAAACTGAACCAAAACACAAATGACTGCATTTAGATCATGGGATGGCAGAGGCTGACATGGCAGGGTTGAGCGAGAGCAACAGATTATAGCCTCTTAAAACATGCACCATATGGCGAGATGTCCGTAGGAACATGACCCAGAAGCTGACCAAGTAAAAAACTGAAGCAAAAACAAAAGACAAAAACAACAAAAACAAAACAAAAATCCCAGAAAAATTCAAGCAGGACATCACTGCAAGATTAAATGAGCAGAAGAGGAGCACATGATATAATGACAGACTTATGTTTCCAAAGGCGGAGAAGTAAACGTTTGAAAGTTAAGTAGTTTTCACGAGTCTGTAAAAATGCAAAGAGATCATTGGACGATGTATAATATGTAATGAATTGAAAGATTCACAGAACGATACTATCTTTCCATTTATCCCTTTCCCTCCTCCTCTGTCCTGCTCGGTATGGTCTTCCACATGACGTGTTTCTTTTTTAATTTAATGATGTTTTTTAAAGAAAGCAAACGGCCACTTATTTGAAACCTTTCTTTTAGAATACCCCACTCTACCTCAAACCCTTCTATCTCTTTCCTGATCTCTTTCCTCAAATCATTCTCATTTCGCCCAATTCTGTTTGTCCAGCTCTTCTGTCTACACATTTCGCTTTCTGAACAGCGTTACTTAGATGTAAGAGCAATACTGAAACGAATCTGTCCCATTCGGTTTGCTCCGAGAGGTAGCAACGCGTTTTGGGAATTCCTTGTCCGCAACATCTTCTGGGTCGAAATGGATATTCTTTTTGCCTGGTCGTCTTATAATGGCTTTGTCAAAATCGGGACACAAAACATTTGTCATGTCTGAGCTCAATATTGTATTCCACCGCAGTTCAATTTTGAACATTTGGGCCAGTGATGTCTTTTAAATGTGAAAATATTTATAGCTGATGTCTGATTTACCAGCCGGGATTGTGGTGGTGGTGGTGGTGGCGGTGGTGGTGATGATGATGATGATGATGATGATGATGATGACGATGATGATGATGATGATGATGATGATGATGATGATGATGATGATGATGATGATAATGAAAGATTTGCAATATTGGATCTCAATCAGCTTGTGACATTGTACGGTAGAAATAATCATTGGCTGAAAACGGACTGATACAATAGAAACGACTGTCCCTTCAATTCCCAAAGGATAAGAAAACGACAGACTCACTAAACCATGAACAATTGCTATCCTGTCTAGTCGAAAAAACCCCGTAACAATAGCCTCCACACGGTCATCGGTAATAATATCAAGTGTTGTTAACTCTTTACTCTCTAAGCAACAACTTTGTTATGAATATGATTATGATTATGATTCTTATTATTACTACTATTACAATTATTTATATCATTGTTATTGATATTATTATGTCATCATCATCTTTATTATTCTTATTATTTTTCTTATTCTTATCATTACTATTATTAGTGTTATCATTATTACATTTTCTTAAGCTGATTATTTTGTTATCAAAGAATATATTTACTGGGTGCAAATAGGTATATTGGTAGCAGTGCTGTATGCATGTTGGCTTCATTATTATCGGCATTACATGTACCTTGTGCTCTATCGTCATTACTATTTATTTTTGCAGTAGGTCTGTGTGATATTTTTTCTTCTTTATTTTACTGCTGTAAGGATTATTAGGTACTCTAGAATTCTTTCCTTTTTGTTGTCATCTGTATCTGCACTATTTGAAATCAGGAATCTACACTGCTAAGTTGTGACGTTTGCACACTCTTGGGTTTCATCGTTGCACTATTCAGGTCGAGCTTATCAACACTTCTGACACAAAAACACTTTTTAAAACTCAGAAAACATTCCCAAACTCGAACCCGTAGCCTTGAACCTATCAAACTTTCCCTTAACTTAAAAAGTAAAATAGTTTGAAAACTTCACATTAACGAATTAATACACACAACCCGCACCATCACAGCCTTATTCTAGTCATCCATGGCGACATTAACATGAAGACACAATGAAGGCGTGGAATAAAACAAGTCAGCTGGACAGGCAAGTTGTCCTTGCCCTCGGTGCTTTCCCCGCAGCGGGTACGAGTAAACGCTCACCACTCACCCTCAACGTTCGTCTCCCCCCACGTGTGTCCCCTCCCAGGTCGCTATGTGACGCCAACACACCGAGACGCATCTGAGAATGGAACCAGGGGCGTGCGCATTTATTCGGGGTGGGGAGTGGGGGGATAAAGCGAAGAGGAGGAATGTTGGCGCGAGGGTGCGCGCGTGTGTGTTATTGTGTATGTGTGTGTGTGTGTGTGTGTGTGTGTGA